ATGTTAAGAATGTAATACATTTGAAAAACAGATTTTTATTGATTTTTAGAGAGGAAGAAAGAGGGACACAGAGAAACATTGATGTGAGAGAGAGACATCAGTTGGCTGCCTCCTGTGTGCCCCCAACTGGGGGCCCAAAATCCGGCCATGTGACCTGACTGGGAATCAAACCAGTGACCATTTGGTGCACTGGACAACGCCCAGCCAACTGAGCCACAGCAGCCAGGGCCGCTTTTGAAAAATTTGCTTGGCATCTTGAAGGTCCATAACCTAACCCTGTGTAAAGAATGGGCTACATTTTTCACTTGAGTGTGATCTTTCAGCAAGTGTTTGTCATTGCCTACAGAGGATGATAAATTGCCCCTCACATTTCTAGCTTTCAGGTACAGCATTTATTTGACAGAACATTTGGAAGAAAAACTCTGTAATAACAGCAACCCTTGGGAGACCCATCTGGTTTTGCCTATTTTAATCATGAGCCACTTGGCAAAAGCCAGTTGTCAGAAATTATTTTCAAAATCAAACAGACGTTTGTCTATCTTTATTCCTCTTCTTTTCTTTACCCATTTCTCTCCCTCTTTACTCCTGATCTCGTAGTCCCTTATTTCTGTATTGGATTATTTTAGGACTCTTGGCACCTTAGGCTTTTTGTCTTTCTAACTCTATTAATAAAAATTTTACCTCTCTCCTGAATTGATACTCAAATTCCTGATTCCAGCTCTAATTTCCTGCAGAGGATCTCCTGGTCCTTTTCCTGCTAGCCATGAGAATTGAAGTAGGAACATATATCCTTTTTGGCGAGGGATAGAGATTTCTAGGAAGCCAAAGAATTATGTTCCGGATGGGACTAATGGGGAGTAATACTGGACAGCGAATAAAGGCCCAGGAGATGCTCTACCACAGCCTCCTTCTGCCCGTCTTCACTACACATCCAGAAGCCTGCACACTACTACTTTTCTCTTTACATATTTAAATCCTGCTCTTTTTTTAAACTTGTTAACAGTCCAGCTCAGATTTTTTTTTCTATGAAACCTTCTGTAGCTATTCCTTCTCACATTGATATTTATTTGGGGGGGTGGGGTGTTCTATATACTTTGTAGACAGTCCTGTTTGTTTGAAGTCATAAATTCCAAAATATTAATAAGTTCCTTAGAAGTAATCATTTTATATACCTTCGTGTTCCCCTAGTGTCCTGTTATTTTTCATATTCCTTTATCCTTATACCTACTAGTCTGGTAGGTGATAAATGGTTAATAAATGAAGGATATGCCGTAAGTATCATTTTAAAATGTGTCTGCCACTGTTACATTACAGCAGGTCATCTTTCAGAGATTTTTTTTGTATCAGAGGCATGTCCTTTATGAACTAGCTGGCTAGTTTTATACAAAATACTGAAGTTCACGGTATTTGAAAGCACTGAGATTTGTAGTGAACATTATATTATATATCAGGGTTCAAGGAGGTATTGAATGTACCAAAAAGAGTTAGAGCAGAAAAGGTAGGGGCACTATAGAAAAAATATTAAGATATAAGAATTCGCCTGATGGTTTGTGCTAGTTTTAGAGTTCTCCAAAGCCTAGGAGACCAGCCCACTCTTTGGTCATAAAGGAACTGTTGCTACCTCCAGTATTAAAGTATTTGAGCTATGGCAATGCATTAACCCTCATCACCTAAATGAAATATTTATTCTGTTTTGAGGGTTTCTGTTTGGTAGGGAAAAAAACAAACACAGACGCCTTTCTTATTGTTCCTCTTTCCTTGTGCCTAATACCTGCTTTACTTAGCTCTCAATGATGACTTTCCTATTTATAGAATAAAAAAATACCCATATTAAAAAATAATTGAATTATTGTTGCAGACACCAAAGTTTCATTCCAATTTCAGTTCCCAAATAAAACTTTGAAAATTATAATGAGCAGTCCCACTCATGATTCAGGACCATTAACTACAAGTTCTGCTTATGTTTGCAAATTTTTTTTTTTTTTTTTTTAAGATTCGTGGAATTGCTGTTATGAACTGGATGTAGAATTGCTTTATTTTCTTTGTCCTGAGTTTATGGTATGTGTGTTTACTCTCCCCCCTTTCTCTTCCTCCCTCTCTCTCTTTCCCTCTCCTTCCTTTCCTCCATCCCTCCCTCCCTTCTCTCTCCCCCCCTTCCTCTTTCCTTCTCTTCCTCTCTCCTTTCTCTCCCTCTCATCCTTTGTTCCTCTTTCCCACACACTTTAGTCATGTGTTTTGCTACTTGTCAGGAAATACTGTTTCCCTCTATAAACTTCCCTCAAAATAGTTTTTAGAACCGTGATGGATATCGAGTAAATATTTTTATAAAAATATTTTAGACTTAAAATATAGTTTCTTAACATTAATCTTAATACAGATCCTGCCTGTGATAAATTAATAGCAGTTATTCCTGTTCTCTTCCCTTTTCTCAGACTAGGTGGCAATATTTACATTCTGCATCATTATTGTTTACTTAGTATAGAAGCATTTTTCACAAACAAAAATTACCTTAAGAAATAGTGAAGCCCTGGCCAGTATGACTCAGTTGGTTGGAGCGTTGCCCCATACACCCAAATGTGGTGGGTTTGATTCCCAGTCAGGGCACATACCCAGGTTGCGAGTTCAATGTTTGATCCCCAATCGGGGTGCGTACAGGAGGCAGCCCATCTATGTTTCTCACATCAATGTCTGTCTGTCTCTCTCTCCCTCTCCCCCCATTTCCTCCTCTCTCCCTACCTTTGTCTTCCTCTCTCTCTAAAAATCAATGAACATATCCTCAGGTAAGGATTACAAAAAACCACACAAAATAGTGAAAAACTCTTTGCTTAATGTAAAGGTAGTACAGTATCAGTGAAGTATAAATTATAGATATTTTTTCACCATTCTATAGGGACTCTGGTTTTGTAAGTGATTTAAGTCACGCATCCAAACCTCATTAACCAAACAAATACAATTGTATGATGATTCTACAGATCATAAAATGTACCAAGTTTTATGTATAGAAATATCCACCAGGTTTTAATTTATGACTTGTTTATTTCATATTTTGGGGGTTAGAGTAAAAGACCTAAAGAAGATACTGCAATTTAAACAAAAACACCTTACATACCAAAAACTTAAATCTGGGTTGGAAAGCTTATTTCAAGCATTTTAGCTATTCCATGTATAGAATAAAATGCGCTTTCACTCTTTTTCTGTCTCTGCTCCTTTTCCTTCCTTGATAGCAGATTGGTATAGTTTAGTGTTTGGTTCACCTACTTCTCCTTCATCACTTAAAGTTACTTTTGGGGTCTATGTTTAAGGTTGAGCTTAAAGGACTTTGGTTACTACTTTAAAAAATCTTCTGGTACCATAAAATTTATAGTTTTAAAAGCTATTGGTTATTTGTCATATATTTCTAAAATTTCCCCCAAATGTGGATTGATTTTTAAAAAAACTTCTGGCATTTTCATTTTAAGATATGATTAGTATACCCTCCGCTTATTAATGAGGGGAGAGCAAGGATAAGCTAACCTTTATTCTTACTTGATAACCAGTTTGTCTTATATTTATTGTTTAAAAGCAACAACAAAAGGATTACTGATAAATACTTCACTTTAAAAGTACCGACATTTCAAAGGTATCATTTGTCATTAAAGATTGTTTTATCATCACACACAACTTGTTCACTGGGCTGTTTATTTGAAGAGTTTGTTTCTTAATGTATTATTTTTTGCCTATTCAGATGACAAGTAGTGTTACAGGATTTTAAAAAATTCCATTTAGTTTTGATAGCTCCGTACTCTGTATACAATTATGACTTATTTTCTTAAGATTTATTTTTGAAATTATATATGTAAATGTATTCTGATTTCAGTGGTGTAATGTCTTGAATCTTCATTTTACACATATAATTTGAATACTATAGACATTTTTACTAAAAAAGTTAAGATCCTTTTTTGAAGTGTTTGGCAATCCAAATTATGAGGGGCTTAAAATAGTGTCAGATATGAACCTATATGGTGACCATTAACTCTCACCTATTGATAATCTCAAACAATATGAGATTGCATTTGAATTATATTTGTGAATGACTTCTCTTGGCTCCTTCAGGTACCCAGATTTACAGGGCTTTTTGTATAAGTGCTGACACACTCCTTTCGTGGCATCCATTGTTCCCATATGACCCAACTTTTCTACATTTCCATCTTCAGTTGGGGATAGAATAGTGAGGAGCCATGGCCCAGCTCTGATTTAAAACTGTGTTGCTTACATCTTTCCCATGACTGAATTAATCTTCATTTTGGGCCTAAGTGGGTCTAATTCCTATTGGAACTAGGACATTGATTGTGTTCCCTGTACTGCTCACAGCTGAATGGGATATCTCGGCCCTAACTTTCTAGTTCAGATGTCTAGGAACATGCCTTAACTTCTGGCAGTTTACAGGTAGGTGATTCCTTCAGAAACGAACGTTAAAGAAATCTGAATTGTGAGGCTGATCCAAAAACTAAAATTTTATCTGTATATCATGCAATTTAACTTTATTTTGCATTCTCTAGTTACACTGGATCAAAACTATAGTTGCATGTTTTATTGAAAAACATGTATTTTGTTTTGAATGATATACTTACTATCTAAAAAACAAGGAATTGCTTAAGGGCATCAGTGTTTCTGATTGAGTTTATTTTCTATAAAACTAAAGTTTTTATAGTTATCCTATTTAATTTCAGTTGAGTATAGTATCAAATAGTCCAACCAGTGATCTGTTGGTGTGATGGCCTAATGGCAAATAAAGTCTTTGCATACAAGTTTATAATCATTTGAAAATTTCACATTAGGAAGAGTCCTTTGAGTACAACTGTAGAATAATAGTAGAGTAGAAATTGCAGTTGAAATGCATGGCCTCTAATTTTTCCCTATTTAAACCTTCCCCTCCTTTGTTAAATAGCATAACATTATTTCCCAAAAGTGCTACTTTGTTTCATTGCATACAAATTGCATTTTCCTCACCATTTTTTTAGGTGAGTACCCAGAATATGAAGATGGGTGGGCTGCCGCGTACAACACCTCCAACTCAGAAACCCCCCAGCCCCCCTATGTCAGGGAAAGGGACACTTGGGTGAGTAACTAAGTAATAACTGAAAACCATTTCATGTAGTGTTGTGGAAAACTAAACACTACATGTATTTGATAGAACATTTTCTGCCTAGGATAATCTTTTTGTAATTTTTCCTTTTCCTGGGAAACATTTTTATATTTTAAAAAGATTTTCTTTAGAAATTATTCTTCTAATGAATTTTACATTGAAGATAAAATCCTAGTCCAAGTTCATGGCGAATTATAAATTGCACTCTAATTCTTATTTTCATAAAAGTTTTAGTCTTTCGTATTATAGTTGACTATTCTTATTTAGACGATTCCTCTGAAGAGCACTGTGTGGATTATAAAATTCTGTATTCTCGTAATACGAGAATATTGAGCTTTAATTTGGTCCTTACAGAAGTGGGCTCCATATTTGACTTTTGGCAGAAATGGTCAACTAATGGAAAAGCTTGACTTTTTTTCTTTTGTAGCATCATAGTATAAAAACTTGGTTTATCATGGAGATTTGTGATCAGGTGGGCATAATACACCCCAGAAGCCAGATGACCAAAATTATGGTCCAGCCTTGTTCCTGCTCTGTGGTCTTACATAGTCAGCCTCTTAGTAATTCAGTTTTTTCATCTGTAAAAGGGGGTAATATTTGTCATCTATCAATTTTTCAGAATCACTCCCATGAATTGGGTTTTTAAAAAATGTATAAAACAAAGACAAAATGCTTTGACAATCATTGGCTTTATGATATATGCTTAAAAGTTTTTAATTGACAATCTTGTTTTTGGCCCCCTCACCAAAAAAAAACCAAAAAATGAAAATAAACACACGAGACAACATAATCAAGCACTGTGGATCAGGACAAGACAAAGACGAGTTGGGATATAAAGGAAGATAATGTTGGAAATTATAGTTAGGACAGTGGGAAACAAAAGAATAAAAATGAATTCCAGCCAGTAATAGGATTTTATTTGAGGTGGACAAAAGAAAAATTTTTGCTTAGATTAGAGAGGAATGACATAAGATTTAGATTTCAGGGTAGAAGGTAGATGACATGGTGGGGTATAATTTTGCAGAGGTAAGAGCAGAGAGTCAGATCAAGAGGAAGTACTTGCTTCATTTTCCTGTGGAACATCTACATTCTGTCACATATAGTACCTAATGGATTTTGTTAGGTTTTTAAATCAAGATTGTCAGCAAGTTAATCCACTGTAGTCTCTAGGAAAATAAAATTTTCTGTTGCTCTCAAATTTTGAAGATTTACTCATATGCCAATATTTGTTCTCCTTGTTATGAGCAAGGGCTCTGCAGGAGCCTCAGTCTCTGAGCCCCACAAACTGGTTGATGGTCATAGCCTGGCTGCTTGCAGTCTTTGCCTAGCCACTATATTTTGTTCCTCTGTCCCTTGTTTTTTACCTTGTTTTTATCATTGCCTTCATTGTATAGTTCACAACCAGCAAAGGTTTTTTTCTTGGCTCAAAACAGAACATTTTTGTTGTCTGAGAGAAATTGTCTGGAAATCAGGTATTTGGAAGTTAGTCAATTTCCTATTTTATGTTTTTTTTAATATTTACATCACAATTTCAGAGATGCCTAAACTTCTTTTTAGTATTTTAAATGCAAAGTCTGGACATTTCTTTTTTTTTCTTTTTTCTTTTGACCCAATATCTCATCTAGTGCCCTTTATTTTTAACTATAAATGTGTGTATACACACACACACACGTATTTATGCAAGGAGATTTTGAGGGTAATGGAATGGATGGGGTCATTGAGACATGATCTCATCCAAAATCAGTGAACCATACTTTGAGTAACCTGGGAGAGCAGTATTTAAGGGAAACTTGGGAACTTTGGAAATTACTGAGAAATTCATAACTTAAGTGAGCAACATCATTTTAGGAAAAGAAAACTTTAATTTTCACATCTTGAGATCCCAATTTTTGTTCTTTTAAAGACCAGAATCTCATCTACAAAATGTCAGTTGAGAATTTATCATTGTAAAGAATTTTGAAACCATACACTGTACACCTGAAACTAATACAAAATAATATTAAATGTAAACTAATTGAAAAAAATAAAAATACCTAAATGGTAACACACACCCTGAAAAAGAATTTGGAAACCATATTTCCTTTCTTACTCTTCTCATTCTTTGAGAAAAAGGAAATATGTTAATAAAATCCAGTTTGTTTTGTACTTTACAGTTCAAAGTAAATAAGGAAGAAAGGCTTAGGTCTTCCCCTCTCCCCCCTCCTTTTAAATGTTGAACTGGGAGGGAGACCAAAAGGTCAGAGCCATCAAGGTGAAAGTTAAAGGAGGAAGCAAGGTGAGAATGGAAGGAGATGAGATTAAATTGTTTATTTTAGTGTATGGATATAGTTTAATTTCTGTGTAGTCACTATATAGAAAAGGAAATGTAAGGTTATAATTGCTATAGATCATCAGTGTGGGGTTGTGGAGTCTGTCTTGGAGTGTCTTTGGTTAGGGAGAGAGGGGTGAGGAAGATTATTGGTGCATTCATGCAGTGCAGTTGGGAGACTGACATGGTACTGAAATAATTTGAACTCATCCAAGAAAAGAGGAGCCTGGGAAACATTGACTTACCTGGTGGGAGAATCTTTGTGCTCACTGAGGATGAATGAACAAAATTGCATTGGCACAGGGAAATGAGGTTGGAGACTAAAAAATAACAATACTCATCAAAACCCTAATGATGGAGAAGTTATACTTAAGGCAAGACTGAAATTGGTAGCTGGGTTATGTAAAAACACATTTTTCTATCTCTTGAGTACAAATTGTATTTCACTACTGGCAACTCTTTGAATTTATTGTGCCGAAACTTGCTAATCACACAATACATACGCTCTTCTTTTTGTAGGCGGCACTCCCCCTATCGCACACTGGAGCCAGTGCGTCCTCCAGTGGTACCAAATGATTACGTACCTAGCCCAACCCGTAATATGGCTCCCTCGCAGCAGAGCCCTGTGAGGACAGCTTCTGTGAATCAAAGAAATCGAACTTACAGGTATTTTCTCTACCTTAGTGCAAAATGTGATGGTCATAGTACCATTATCTGTTCAGATACCTTCAGTTAAATCTCTCTCATTTTCCAAGCACTAAGTTCCTTTCCTCACTGTACTCTCCCAAACCTCATCTTCCACCTCTCTCTCCTCATGTTCTGATGCAACTTTGAGCAGACAGGAAGTTGGAAAAAACCCCAAAACTTGTTAAAGTACAAACTTCTCTGCAAAATTAATAGTTATAGTTGACCTTAAAAAAATTATGGACCTGATATGGGAAATTTCAAGTTGTTTTTTGGTGGAACTTTACAGATGAAAAACTACATGCAATAAAACATTAATATGGGATAGTATATCAAGATGCTATTACAGATAAAATTAAATCTGTTTAGGAAGACTATGTTTTATTATAAAAGAAATTTCTTCAGACAGGCATTAAACTGGCGTAAGAGAAAGTATTACTGTTTTTGTGTTGAACCCCATCATTTATCATTTATGTTTATAAATTTTTTCTCTTCTTTCTCAGTTTCTTTAATGTATGCCTACTAAAAGGTGGTCAAAACAAGTTTCTTGAACTCAGCTTTTCCCCCTACTAATAAATTCATATTTGAAGTGGAAGGCTTGAATTATCTTTATTGTTACTATATTCATTTCAGAAAATGTTGGGAAATGCTGGAGAGATCTCTTGCTGTATATAAGTGCTCATGTGTTGGTGGCTCCTGTTTCTTTAGCAGCAGTGGGAGTAGTGGAGGAAGCCACCCAAGTAGTCGGAGCAGCAGTCGGGAGAACAGTGGAAGTGGGAGTGTGGGAGTTCCCATTGCTGTTCCTACTCCCTCTCCTCCCAGTGTCTTTCCAGGTAAAACATGAATGGGGCTTCATCTTCACTTTTCCTTTCTGAATTTGAATTAAATTTCTGATTTAATTAAAGTGGGCTTTCTTCATAATCAGAATTTATTTTTCTGTTAGGACTCCATAAGTGTTGGGAAATATTTATGCATTTGTTATTTTTAACCAAGTAATTTGTAAGTTTTTGCTCACACACTTCTCTGTACTTTGGTTGTATGTCTTCGGTGCTGTAGTTTGGTTGGTGCTTTGAGGTTTCAGTTACCACCTTGGTATATGTTTAATTTCAGCTAGTGTATGACAGCACATACCTTGGGACACAGAGGGGACTCAGTGTGAAAATAATATTTGTAACAAAGCATTGAACAAATATCAAAGAGGTTTGACAGTTAAATTTAGTGGAGTGTTAAAACTTAATAGTCTCTGAAATGCTACCCTCTTTTCTCTGAAACAGAAAAATGTACTTATTTAATCTGAGGACACCAGGGTTAAAATTTAGTTTTAAAAGCATGACATGAAAGACATGGGGATAGAATATCACATATTTAATTTACTTGTCCTAATAACAAATAGATAATGCCTTTTTAAAATTCATGAAAAAGAGAGAGTTGTGTTTTTCTAAATAGTTTTTTACCTGATAAGGTATTATGTCTGGAACATATGTTCATTTTCTGATTTGGGTAATTTAGAATGGAATTTTGTTGTTTCCTAGTGTTTAGTTTTGTATATTATTTACAGAATGTTATGCTAAATATTTCAATATAAAGGGAGCATTTTTCCTGCAGAATAGTGGCTTTCAGGTAAAAAGGAATGCTTGTTTTTAATGAATTAAACCTGCACATTACCCTGGCTTCTTGAATTATTTGCTGTACACCTAATAATCCTTTAACATAAGCTTTATTCTTTTTGCTTTTTAACACTCTCTTCTATTCTTTGGTTAGTGTTGAGCACTGAATATCTAACATTAAGTTCTCTAATGCCTTTTCTAGTCCTGCCTAATGGGATTGCCTCGTTAATGCTGCCTCTTACTCCTCTTTCCCCTCAGCCCCTGCTGGCTCTGCTGGTACTCCTCCCCTTCCTGCTACTTCTGCACCTGTCCCTGCCCCTATTGTTCCTGCTACTGCCCCTTCCTCCACTGCCCCAGACGCATCTTCTGGGGGTGCCCAGACCCTTGCTGATGGCTTCACTTCTCCAACTCCCCCTGTTGTTTCTTCTACTCCCCCTACAGGTGAGTATTGGCTTATTCCTTGGCAGGCAAAATCCAATCATCTGGCTCTTTTATTACCAGGAACTCTGGCTCTATAATTTTTGTTTGTTTGTGCTTTGTACACATACACACACACATTATATACACACACACACACCACACAGAGAATAATTTACTAACTAGAAAATGGCACATGACCAACATAAAATATTCTGAGGAAATCAGGGTAAAGTTTCTCATGCATTTTTTTCAGTAGAGCAACACAAATATAAATTTTTTTATTGCTTGAATTTCTTTTACTAGAGATTTTTGAATTTACTATGGTGCTGCCTTATATACAGTTTTGAAAACTCTTCATTACGAAATTATTGTTTGTGCCCAGCTGGTGTGGCTCAGCAGTTGAGCATCCACCTATGAACCAGGAGATCGAGGTTCAATTTCCCATTCAAGGTACATGCCTGGGTTTCAGGCTTGATCCCCAGCAGGGGGTGTGCAGAAGGGAGCTGATCAGTGACTCTCTCACATCATTGATATTTCTCTCTCTCTCTCCCTCTCCCTTCCTCTCTCTCAAATCAATAAAGATATATTTTTAAAAAATTTATTGTTTGTTACAGGTTAAGTTATTAACAAAAAGAAAAATGTATGACTAATTCTAAGGTATATTTTATAGGAAATATTTGATATTGCTGTTTTTAAGTCTATAAATCTATTATAACAGAATCTATTGCTTATAGCAGCATTGGAAACACAGACAATTTTAAAGAATTTCAAGTTTATTTAAGTTTTATTTAAGGTTGACTGGTGTTTTGGTGTTTTAAAATTACAGCCTAAAATCTGTTTTTTTGATGGGGGATGAGAAAAGGGCTCAATTGCTAGAAAATATATTTGCAAATGTAATAGTGATGCTGGTTAGTAAATAGGTTCTTATCTGTTATAAAAATATATGTGTTTGGATACAAATCACCTTAGTTTGTCAAGTACTTCATAGAGTGTATGTTCAGCTCTGCTGCCATAAGTAGATGTTTAAGATATTAAGATGGATTTTGGCTGGTGTTTTATGGGATAGCTTCTGTAATAGTGCTTAAGAAAAGCTTACTACCATGCGGAAATGTAAACATGGGCTGTTCTTTAATCTACATACAGCTTTGTTTAAATATAGGAATTTTGTTGCGCTCCTGCATCGATAGAGTAAAGAATGCATCCTGAAATCATTGTAGGCCCGAAAGGACAAATCACCTCCCAGCTGAGAGTCAGCATTTTCATAATTTAATAACAGGTGCTGGCTTATAGTCTGCACTGAATAAACATTTGTTGTATGAGTGGATAATTATAGTTTTTTTAAAAACAAAAAAGAGTAGTAAATGCCTCAATAACAATTTATATAGATATAATCTTTTTTATACTGTGTCTTTGAAACACCAAGTACTTCTTATTTCTTTTTATCAAGGTATAATTTATGTTCAGTAAAATTTACCCTTTTTAATGTGTATTTCTGTGAGTTTTGAATTGTATGCAGTAATGTAACCACAACTACAGTCAAGATGTAGAAGCAGTCTTAACATCCCCTAATTTCCTCCATGCCCCCTTTGTAGTCAATCCTTCCCTTTCACTCCAAGCCCCTGGCAACCGCTTGATCTGTTTTTTGTCTCTAAAGTGCTGCGTTCATAAGAAGATCATGTAAATGGAGGCATATGGTAGATAGCCTTTGGATCTAGCTTTTTGGCATATTGCATTTGTTATTTATCCATGTTGTTGCATGTTTCATTATTTTGTTCCTTTTTATTACTGAGGAGTTCTGTGTGGATGTACACAATTTGTTTATCTCTTTCCCAGTTGGGGGACATTTGGATTGTTTCCTGTTTGGGATGATGATGACTAAAACTGCCATAAACATTTATACACAGACTCTTGTGTGAGCTTAGGTTTTCATTTTATTTGAGTAGTTCATGATTTTATTTCTTTTGTGGACTGTGCTTTTGGTGTCATATTTGTAAGCTCTTTACCTTGCATACGTCATAAAGATTTTGTCCTGTTTTCTTTTAGAGGTTATTCATTTTTGGTTTTGCAGTTAGGTCTTTGGTAATTAAACTGTAGTGTGTGTTTTTTTGGTTTTCAACCCAAAGCAAAGTAAATGCTTTACTAATGGTATGAATGGTCTCTTTTATCTAGTGTCTCTGAATCACTGAGGACTTAGCACATGCGAGATTTTAGACTGGATCTAATATAAAATTCATAATGGTGTTAATTATCAGATGTGTTTAACTTGATGATCTTAGGTTTGTGTTAGTTTGTTACAGATATTTTTTTTGTTTTTAATTTTTAAATTTTATTTTTGTTTAAAATATTACAGATGTCCCTTTTTCTCTCCAATGACCTGTTCCACCCTGTCCCATCCCCCTCCCCAGTCCCTCTCCACACCACTGTCCGTGTCCTTGGGTTGTGCATATACGCATATAAATTCTTTGGTTACTCTCTCCCCCTCCACTCACCCACCCTCCTCCATCCCTCTGACATTTGTGAGTTTGATCTATGCTTCCATGTCATTGAATCTATTCTGTTCATGAGTTTATTAAGTTCTTTAGATTCCATGTATAAGTGGGATCATGTGATGTCTGTCTTCCTCTGCCTGGCTTATTTCACTTAGCATAATTTTTTCCAGTCCATCCATACTGTCCCAAAGGGTACGAGATTCTTCTTCTTTACAGCTATGTAGTAGTCCATGGTGTATATGCCCCACAGCTTTTTACCCACTCATCAGCTGATGGGCACTTGGGCTGTTTCCAGATCTTAGCTATTGTAAACTGTGCTGCTATGAACATTGGGGTAAATATATTCTTTCTGATTAATGTTTCAGGATTCTTAGGATACATTCCTAGGAGTGGAATCACTGGGTCAAAAGGCAGCTCCATTTCTAATTTTTTGAGGGCTCTCCATATTGTTTTCCATAGTGGTTGCACCAGTCTGCATTCCCACCAGCAGTGCACTAGGGTTCCCCTTTCTCCACACCCTCACCAGCACATGCCATTTGTTGATTTGTTGATGGCAGCCATTCTGACAGGTGTGAAGTGATACCTCAATGTGGTTTTAATTTGTATCTGATGATTAGCGACGTTGAGCATTTTCTCATGTGTCTCTTGGGCATCTGTATGTCCTCTTTGGAGAAGTGTCTATTCAGGTCCTTTACTCGTTTCTTAATTGGGTTGTTTGTCTTCCTCTTGCTGAGTAATATGAATTCTTTGTACACTTTGGAAATTAGCCCTTTATCAGATACATCCTCGGCAAATATGTTTTCCCAGACCGTGGGGTTCCTTTGTATTTTGAGGCTGTTTTCTTTTGCTTTGAGAAGCTTTTTAGTTTGATGTAGTCCCATATGTTTAAGTTTGTTACAGATTAATTACTGAAACACCAATAATGTATTTGTATGTAGTGATTCAAATGACAAAATGTATCTTTTAAATAATAGTTCATACTGTTTTTATATTTTTCATCATGGTTACAGTGACTTGACAGTGGATTATGTTTCTGCTTTAATACTCAAGATTTTTATACAACAGAATTGATTTTTAGGATTTGATACTGCTGTAATATTAAATGGTATAGAAAATTTAAAAATTTTTTATTAATACAGTATTTATTTGTCTTCCCTCTGTCAAACCCTGAGCCAACCACTTTCCCCAGGCTGCCTGGGGAGGGATAGGAAAAGGAACATACAGGGTAGACAAGACACAGGAGAAGGAACTATGGGAGGTGGAGACAGCTCCTTCACATGGCAAAGAGGATGAGAAAGGCCACCATCAGGCAAAAGAGCCCTCGGGCCTCAGAGGGCAAAGCCCAGAATGATATAGGAGAAGAGCTGTTGCCTCCTGGCATAACCAGTGATGAGGCTCCCAGACACAGTCCCCGTTCCAGCCCCAGAGCTGGCCACCCCTACTGTGGCAGCTCCAGCCCCAATGAACTTCGCTGCTCTGTCAATGTCTTGAAATGGTGCTAGTTTAGAGCTGCAGCTAGAAATAAGTGAGGTCAGGGGACATGAGCTTGCCAAGCTGCTGAGGCTCTCATCTGTTAGTGTCTCTGGTTGGTTGGTTCAGCACCACTGCAGACAGTGACCGGCTCAGCAGCTGAGAGATGCTTCTGACCAAGGAGGGGTGGAGCCAGACTTGGCTCAGGCTTACATTTTCAGGGGATGAGAGGTATGGCAGGAGAGCTGCTCCCATTGCAGAGAAGACAGAGGCTATAGCAGATCTTGAGTGTGTTTATGATATTCCTTATATGAGTCCATATGAGTCCAGGTTTGATAAATTTACACAGTTCCTGAAGACCAATTTTAGTTATGTAAAAGTATTTTACAGTCATGGAAAACATTAAAAAATGTGATTTTCTTTTTTCTTTTCTTCTTTTACCTTCCCTTCCTCCTCTAGCCTGCTCTCATTTCCTTTCCCCTCTCTCTTCCCCTCCTCTTTTCCCGATACTTCTTCTCTCCCTCTCTCTCTTCCTTCCTAAATTTTTAAATTGATTTGAGAGAGAGAAACATTGATCTGTTGTTCCACTTAATGCATTTATTGGTTGCTTCTTCCATGTGCCCTGACTGGAGATTGAACCTGCAACCTTGCTATATTGGGACGATGCTCTAACCACCTGAGCCACTGGGCCAGGGCCCTCTCTTTCTCCCTTGCCTGGTGGAGTGATCTCTCTTGGGTGCTCTAGTGCTTTGTAACCGTAGGCCCCCCAGCTGAATGATTGTGTTAAGACAAAATTTAGGAACTGTATTGCCTTAGGAAACTGGATGGTTAGGAAAGACTGTCTTTAGTTGGCATTAGTTATTGAAGTACTCAGAGATCAAAATACAGTGAAATTGCTGATAAATGTGTACAGGTTCAGGGATAATATTAAAAATAAGATATATTTTGATTCACTTTTTGTATCTTAACTTTTTTTCATAACTGTAAATTTCTTAAACTAGTTTTAAGACAAAATAATGTAGTTTTAGAGATGGTATCTTTAATCAAGTAAAGACGTGTTTGATTTGATTATGTCACTTGACCTTTTGCTGGAAATACTTTGTTTTCCTTTAATTGCTTTGCTACCTTAAATTTACTGTTGTTGTTGTTTTGAAATAAGACAGTGTCAAACATTTTTTCTTTTGCTTTCCAAGATGTCATTCTTGTTGACTTTTAGTTTTCAGTGCTTCTAGTGGATTGGGGTGGTGGTGGTGGAGGAAGTGAGTCTTAAATTTTAATTAATTGTGATGATTTTGAAATCCTATCAGATTATTAATTTAATAAAAGTATAATATTAATTAGTAATCTATTTAGATGTAGCTTTTCCAAACCTAATCGTGAATCTGCTTTCCTCCTTTTGTATTTCGATACGTCAGCTGAGCAATAATTGTCACCTTTCCTTATATGTCAGACAACTAATTAAATTAGCTAAACATTGTTATTTTTCATTATCTTATTAAAATTCAGTCATTGTACCTAAAGTATTTCATTGTCTGAGATAATTTTCTTTTAATGGCAAATTTATGTTCTTTTTCTTTTCCAGGACATCCTGTCCAGTTCTACAGCATGAATAGACCTGCCTCTCGCCATACTCCCCCAACAGTAGGGGGCTCGTTGCCCTATCGACGCCCTCCTTCCATAACTTCACAAACAAGCCTTCAGAATCAGATGAATGGAGGACCTTTTTATAGCCAGAATCCAGGTTAGATTTTCTTTTGCATTTTATAGAATGTACCTGGTTGAAAATCTTCAGTTACAGAGAAAAAAACCCTTTAATTATGAATGATTAGAACATAGTAGGTGGTTAGTACTATTTTTTTTTTTTTTAGTAAATGGAGGAATGAATACGAGGTTACTAATACTGTATTTTACATTTCTTTTTTTAAAAAATTAATAATGTGGTTTTCATATAAAGTTGTAGAACTCAGTTTTTTTGAACAGAATCTTTGAATTTGCTAGTGATTATTTGCTTTTAAAAATAATATTGTGGTAAACAATATTTCTTCCCTATGAATAGCAAATAATGAAAATTGAGTGTACATGGACAGAGTTTATAAGTGGCAAAGTAAAAGGGACATTTTTGAAACTGCTTTGTGCTAGGTAGTTGTTCTGTTTTACTCAGTTCTCATACCAAACCTATGGTGGGAAAATGGACTTGGGCACATTGATTGAGATAGAACAGTCATCTCTCAGTTGCATCATACACACAGAAAACTTAATCTCGCATATATTTAATACTATATTTAATAATTTTTGCTTCTTCTCTAGAGAGGGTAAGAGTAAGTCTTAGATTTTATGACTGTCGTGAACATGGTATGACAACTTACTATGTTTTTCTGGATTTTTGTCAAGAGGCCAGCAAGTTCGTTCCATCTTTGACAAACCCTGAATTTTGTGTAATGTTCAGTAACTATTTGTTGAATATGGAATGAATCCCTTGTTCTTTATCCTAACCCCTTCACTGTTTTGGATCTTTCTTGTAGAGTAAATGCCATATTTGTAGTCTAATCAGTGCATCCTGTAGTGTGATTACCAACTGCCTTACTCGAAATATACTTCTCTTACTGCTGTCTTTGATCACACTTAGTGATTTTGGCTGTGTCATTCTTTTTAACTCATTTTGAGCTTAATTTTGACAAATCTGCCTTTTCATCCATTCTTTTAAATCATGTGTTCCAAATTTATATTTGAATAGGAGCTATTTTGTACCTAAATGCATTTTTATTTTTAAATTTTAGTTTGTTAGATGTGGATTATTTCATAGTTCTAAAGGTAAGCTTTCTCCCTGGCCCTCTTGGAAGTCTAGACAACTATTGCTTAGGGCTCTTATGCCCTTCCTCATACTTGGAAAGAGTTTTGAAAGAATGATGTCAGTCCAGAATGGGCTGGTTCTGTAATGGAGCTGAGATGCTTCACTGTTAAAGCTTGGGACCCACTGTACATAATATACAGAATGTATATGCAGGGATATAGTTCATGCTGTGTACACGTACAAAGAAAAAACAGTGGTTTTATGAGAGTGGAAATTATTTGAAGGCTGTTAGTGGAAATTATTTGAAGGCTGTTTCAGCACATATTTATATATGTTTTAAATACCTATTTTAATACTTCTTTCTTTATTATAAGTCTGTTTTTAACATACTTGAATTTTCAAGTATGTTAAAGTAGAAAATATCTTACTCTATGGAATGATTTTAATGAAAATATTTTTCATGCTCATGAAGGTACAGTGAATTGAGATTATGAGCCTTTAGCAAAATGTGTGAGACAGTTTAGTTAGTTGGTTGTTGCTTTTTTCCAGTACTCCTTTCTATTAAGTTCTGCCTTTCTACTCCAGGGATTTGGTAACTGTTTATAGAAGGTAACTACAGCTTTATTAGTTGATTAATCATAGTGCATTTTCTAAACTAACATTTTTTTAAATCTAAAACATGTTCTTTGGAAAGCTTTTGTTGCAAGACTTAATGCCAAACCAGTGTTGCAAGGCTATTAGATGCTCCTTTATTTTATCTGCTTTAGGATATCATATAAGTCTCATGTATTACTTCCTGGTCTTACAGTGGTCCCTGTTTTTTCATATTTAAAATGAGAAAATTTGTTTTGCTTTTTCAAGTAGCGAATAACCTAATTTAACAAAACGATCCAGGTGTGTGTTATATGAGCATATATGTATTTTTTCAATTGGAGGCTTGACATGAATGCATGCGTCTGAAGAAGTGAGCTGACAGGCTGGTATACATGTGAATGTAATTCACTGGGGTTTTCTGTGAGAGATAAATCTAGCAGCACTGTTACTATATTTGGTTTGAGTGTGAAAGGGCATTATAATGTAGGAATTAAAATTCAGAACATCACGTGTCTGGAGTCTAGTCCTAGCATAATAACTTCTTTTCTGATGAGATTATTTCAGAAATAAATTAATGAAAGTAACACTTTGACCAGGGCATAACCGAAACATTTTGGTTCTCATTGTTTCTTAATCTAATCCAGCCAAAAATATGGCAACACCAATTTATCATTTATTTTGTCAGCAGTAAAGAGGGTCATTGAAACAAATAGGGTTAAGCACAAGTTACAGTTTTTATTTTAAATATAAAATGAAGCACCTTGGTGTTCAAAAAGAATATATATGTATATTTATTTGTACACATAGATTTACATGTATAGACCTAGTTTGGTAATTGTCTTAGGCTGCTATAACAAAGTTCCATAGACTAGGTGGCTTATAAATAACAGAAGCTTCTCACAATTCTGGAAGCTGAAAGTCAGAGATCAGGGTGCTAATATGGTTTAGTTCTGGTGAGAATCCCCTTCCGGGTTACAGGCTGCCGTCGTCATGTTGTATCCTCACTTGGTGGCAGAAGAGAGGGAGCTCTCTAGGGTTTCTTTTTTAAGGGTACTAATTCCTTTGTGAGGGCTCTACCCTCATGACTTAATCACCTCCCAAAGGCCCCATTTCCAAATAACATCACATTGGTAACTAGGATTTCAAATACGAATTTTGGGGGAACATATACATTAAGTTCATAACTGTAAGGAATTAGTAATGTGGTATTTAAGTACTAAGGTTCTCTAGAAGATATTCTACATTTTAGTGCTCATATTTTCTTTTTTTTTTTTAAGTATATCTTTATCGATTTCAGAGAGAGGAAGGGAGAAGGAGAGAGAGACAGAAACATCAACAATGAGAGTCATCGATCGGCTGCCTCCTGCATGCCCCCGACTGGGGGTCCAGCCCACAACCCAGGCATGTGCCCTGACTGGGAATTGAACCCTGATCACCCGGATCCTAGGTCGACACTCAACCGCTGAGCCACGCCCGGCTGGGCAGTGCTCATATTTTCTTACAACAAAAACTTAAACACTAATTCATAAAGTGGAGTGTTGGTTCCAAGAAATATGACTGTACAGTTATATGCGATAGAAAATTTATGAGTATGTCATGCTCTAAGCCCTGAATATTATTAAAAGCAACTAAAAATTAAAAAAAAAAACAGTGAAAAAACAGTATTGGGTTAGTGATATTGCCAAGAGAAGCTATACCATATTAAGTTACAGAATTACGAAAAATTTCCAGAGGAATACATATGTGATGGGGCCTAAGCAAAGTATGAGTAAAGAACAGTATTCTTTTCAGTGACATGGAAGCATGGATCAGATTGACGAATGTCACAGGGATAGAGGGGGGACGGTGGGTGGGTGGAGGGGGAGAGATTAACCAAAGAACATATATGCACATATGCGCAACCCAAGGACACAGACAGTGGTGTGGTGAGGTAC